CACCTGTTCAAAGCATGGTTCACCAAAAGTGGTGGGCTTGTTGAAAACCCACTGTGGCTTTTTGTAGCAAGTCTAAACTAAAGAAATTATTACTCCATTTCAAAGGGAACAACAGGCCACAAGTATTTAATTCACAACCCATTCAAGTATCCAACCTAGTGCCAAAGAAAGGGCAGTAGCAAACACTTAAGGGAACAAATCACTTCTTTCCCAAAGGTTAACTAAGTTTCCTACCCAGGAGACCCAGTGATCCCCAGCTTGTCATGAGGCAACCCAAAGTGCATCTGGGCAGATGCTTTTTTCCAGTTGCAGCCTTTCTTGTATTAAGATATCTTGAAAGCAGAGAAGACAGCCTCCCAATCTAACAATGGTTTTAGCTCCAGCACAGCAGCAAGCAATGGCTGTTCGCAATCCATACTATTTGGAAACTGGTTTTATTTATTTAAATAGGCCCTAACCTCATGAAACAATATTGGTGATATGCAAGCCGCTTTAAAGACTGCTTGAATCCTTGCTGCAGGTGACAGCGATGTAACATTTATAGAAATTTTCACAAATTATTTTCTGGTAAACTCAATCACATGACATCATGTTCCTGTTAGAATTTCTGCATCTGAATTTTGATTCAGTTTACTACTCCTCAAATGCCTCTTCATTGACCAAACATACCAAGAAAACTATCAACCCAAAGTAGTGATCTGGTTCTGAACTACCTTGCCCTTGTTCTTTCATTTAATCACGGCTGCATCTGATGCTTACGGACAGCTGATTTCCACCAAAGAAGAAAAGTGAAGAAAAACTGAAAAGCATCATGCTTTTTCTTGTTTGTTTTTTAGTCCCTGGCTCAACTCCTTTTGCAATCCTGTTCTGGGAGCAAATGTCTCAGGTTGATCACTCTCAGAACGCAATCCCTTTTCTATGCCAAGTGTGCAGGATATTTACCAAGATGACCTGAACATAGTACATACCTGAACTTCATCATCCTTTCGGATGGGCATGGATCGAACATTGTACTTCTGTCTCAGCTCTTTGGAAAGAGGAGAAGACATAATCTTCCTGCGAACGTGGGAAGGTGCATTGAAATGTCTTTTACGGTTCTTGCTCCGGTCAGAAGTCACAAAGGGGTTGAACTTCATTTTGGCTAAAAAAAGTTAAGAGGTGTAAACCTTTAAATAACCAAAATCTCATTCAGTTTCCAAACAAATAACAGCAGCAATTTCATTCTGAAAGTTCAGAATATTCACAGAGGCTGTCATATGTTTAACTCCATCAAAACCTGCTTGAACTCATCGGCCTATCAACTGAAGCTTGGTTTTAAAAACTTTTCTTTACTAGGATGCTTGCAATATTTGTTTATAGAATGAAATATTTTCCATTATTAACACAACCTTTTTAGTTATCAAACTTTTTGTTTACACTCCAAATTTTTTAAGTCCTGCGACAGGACTTTTATCTTTGAATTAGGGCAAAGCAGACTCAGTTTTTCAAACATAACATTACGTTTTCGAGACCAACGAACGCTAATCTCCAGACTTTAAGTATGAACACATCTAAGTCACCTCCAAAATCAATGATTCAGGCCACCCATCCCGAACCTAGAAAATGACGCACAGATCTGGGGTCCAAAAAGCCTTCCAATGGAGGAGCGCGGTATGGAAGTTCCGTGGATTTACCACTAAGTTATCTTGAAACCATTCTTTAGGAAACTACACAGCCCAGACCTGACTCGCTCTCCCCTTTTCCTGCAGCTCCCATTACAGAGTCCCAAAACTTTGTTTCCTCCTTTTCCCAGCCAGGCGGCCCTTGAGCTATAGGGAAAACAGGTCGAGACTATCTTGGCCCCTCTCCCTGGCTGCTACTCGGCCGCCGGAACAGTGTCGGGGCCCCAGGGGTCGAGAGCCACCGTGCCCGTGAACGGATGGCTGCGGATTACACGCGCTTTCCCCGCAAATCCTCACCCGAAGCTGCTTCAGCGATGGCCGCAAAAGGGAAGAGACCCACACGTTACTTCCGGTTCTGTACGGTGACAAGAACTCTCGCGAGACCCATGTCTTTTGGAGCGAGAGAGCCGCGTAGTTTAACCGAGAAGAGGAAACTAGGGAAGAAATTAATGACTACTGTCACCTCGCGGCTAGGAGGGGAACTGCGAGGGACCCAAGACTCCCTTCTCCAGGTTCTGGTGCCTTTCTTCCGAGCTCTGGGTTCTGCAGCTGTGTCCTCTGGGAAGGGTCGTTTCCGGGCGAGTGGCGGGGCTCAGAGTCTGACTGCCCCGGTGGCTTCTGAGAAAGTGAGCGGCCCCAGGGGACCCCTGTCCTTTAACTTCCGAGCGCCGGGCGGCGGGCACCCCATTATTCCGGAAAGGGCAGGTCCTATATTTGACAGCCAGGTGACGCTAGGACTCTAGCCGTCCCGGCCAGTGCCGTGGGTTTGTTCAGTCCTTTAACAGGCTTCAGCCGGGTGTCATTTGTCGCCTCCTCACCACCGCCTGTGATGAATGCGCCACAGATTCGGGCCGAGATTCGAGGGGACTTCCGAGAGCTGGGGCCACCGATCTGCTCCCCACCTCGCGGAAGTAGGTCTGAACCAGAGTTTCTAAGGAGCTCCCAAGTGATGCCGAGGATGCTGGTCCAATATCACACTTTGAAGGATCCCGGCTTGAGGAAGCCTTTCCGTGCGGAGATCCGTGCCCCTTTCTGAATTTTACTGGCTGCTGTCATTCAGTTCAGGATCTGATGGAAGCAGAGCAGGGGGGTGCGCTCCCCTGCAAATGGATTGCAGTGCGGGGTAATTTCTGAAGCGTGCCCTGCCGCGCACCTGGTAGGGACTTAGTTTCTGTTGAATGAATAATATAGGTGTAATTCTGAGGGAAGACACGTTTCATATATATAAGACGTAGCTAGTTTGCTGAGTGCTAGGGACACTCTTCTACTCACTCGAAGTTTTTAGCTCCTTTTAATTCACGTAATAGCCTTGTGATGCTGATATTGTTATCCCCATTTTACAGATGGGGACGCTGAACCACAGAGACGTGAGAGGAACTTGTGCATGGTTATACAGAACCCATAGGTTATAGATAAACTCATGCAAATTGGCCTCCCAGCCCCATCTGGTAATTCTGTATATGGTCCCAATTTGTGGGAGCCCATTGGGTCAAGTCAAAAAGAGAGAAACTCTATCCTTACAGGCTCAGAGTAGAGTCAGTAAAGAACATGTGTTTCCATGATTTAAAAATAGCTGTATTCTTAAATATGCTGTGATGGAAATAGCCCCAGATTTTATTTGTAATTCAAAAATTCAGTGAGAATTCCTCTGCAATTCGTTTCAACAAATGTTTATTCAGTGTCTTTCATGGGCCAGCCCTCTTCTGAACACTGGAACTACACAATGCAATTAATTAGTCAAAGTTGCTGCCTGCAGGAAGCTCATTGTCTAAGAGGAGAGATAAACAATGAAATCAACAATCATAGGAACCCAGGAAAAGCGTTTGCTGACCTAGAGTGTCCTTGGTGTTTCTTTGCTTCAGGAACAGAAGAGAGCTCTGGGGTCACAGAAGACTTCTGGGGTGAGATCACCCTTGACTGAGTTTTGAAGAACATAAAATTAGCTTGGTGAGGCAGTGGGAATAGCCTGAGGGAAGGCATGGAGGTGTGAAGCAGCATGACACATTGTCTCCAGGGGCCAGGTCCTTATATCTAGAGTGAGAGGCATTCAGACAGAAGCCCATGGGGCTCTGGAACCCAATGGAGTTTGATTTGGATGCTGAGAGCCATAGGGAGCAGGTGCAGGGTCCTGCCTTCCTACCTTTGCTTCCTTTGCGGTCTTCACAGTGTCACCCCTTTCTCTTCTTACTGTCCTTACTAGTTTCCTTAACCCCCTCTTCTTCAGGTCTCTCCATCATCTTCCTCTCTTCCCACAAAAGCCCTCTCTGTTTCTTCAGCCTCCCCATTATTTTCCGCTGTCACTTTTCCCTTTTAGGCCTCCTTATCTCCCTCCCTTCATCTAACACTGAGTCATCAAAATTAAAGCTTCAGCCCAACATTTGGACAGCATACCCACTTTATACAATGTGAAGATTACTGGGATACAAACTGTACAAACAGATGCAAATTACTGGCAACCTAGTTATAGAGTCTGTTTATCTTCACAAGTGTCCATTGGGCATCTTGGCTCTACCCTACCTGATCCTCTGGCCCCTTAGCCTGGCTGCCATCTCCCTCGCTCTCCCTTACATTCCTCTTATATCATTTGAAAACGGGCCTTTTAAACTGACTCTTTTGGGTCATTTTGAAACTGGTCTTTGTGAAGCCCTAATATACACCAAAGCAGGAATTATCCAGATTCCATTCCTATATCCCTGGACTAAATGTTTTTGTAGACTCCAAACTATTATATTTATTTGTTTGTTTGTTCATTGATTCACACACATTCTTCAAATATTTATCCAGCTTTGAATAATATTGAATGTCAACTGTAATTAAATATATATACTGGGAGTGCCAAAAAAATGTATACACATTTTAAGAGATGTTACCTATGTATTACTTTTCGAAGTTGAATTGAATTATGGTAGCAACGTGTAGTATGACGTTTGCTCAAAAGATGGCATTAATCAACTGAATGCTTGTGTCACCATGCAACAGGCAGGACAGTCAAAGAAAATGATGGAAGCACGTCTGAGGAGCGCAAGACCATTTTGAAGTGGTATTTGAAATTCGATAATATGGTGTAAGTACAATGACAATGGAGGATTTGGGGGGACCTTAAAGATGTGGTGTGCCATAGAAAACTGGCTACACTGGTGGTACTTCATGAAGAAATTGAAACGGCATGTGCTGTAATACAAGTAGACTCTTTAGTTAACGTTGTTCAAGCAGTAGTTCACTGTAATCAGAAGTGTCTGGACACTGATGATAACCACTTTGAGCACCTCTTGTAATTGCAGAAGTCAAATGTGACTTGTATTCATCTTTTGTTATTGGTATATGTTGAGTATTACAATTTCAATACAGTTTTTTCCTTTCTTAAAATGTGTATACATTTTTTTGGCACTCTCTGTATATATATGGTCACAGGATGTGGAGTACAGAGTAGGGAATAGAGTAAATGGAAATGTAACAGCTATATATGACGTCAGAGGGATAGTAAACTGGGGGGGGTTATCACTTTGTGAGGGGTGTAAATGTCTAACTATCACATTGTTTTGTGCACCTAAAACTAATTAAAACATGTTTACCCAGCTTTGATTTTTTACTAAATTTTATTTCAGGTACTTGGCATGATCTTACCAAGGTCAGTAAGATCTAGCCTCTCCTTAAGGAGCACATTTTCTAAGAGGAGATGGACTTGTCAACAAATACACATAATAAAGTGTCTTGGGAAGATGATGGGATGAAGTCGATTCTAACTGAGCTCAGGGGCTGGAAAGTCTACATAGGTAACCTTGGAACTGTTTCTGGAAAGCTAGTTATGAGCTTTACAGGTAGATGGGGGAAGTGTGTTCTAGGTGGAGGGAGTTGCCTAAGCAAAGGCCCAGAAGCCTGTACCAGCACTGCTTGTTGGCACTGTAAATAGATTGTACTGAGAATTAGTTGTGGCGTTCATTTATATTGGTTTAGAGGAGGATAAATGAAAGTGAGGAATTGTGAGAATGGGGTAAGGTTGTTTATTTTGTGCCAGAAAAGGACATTTGGACTGAAGGTGGTGAAGGGGAGAAGTGAAGATAACAGGAGAGCTGCCTATGTCATCTGCAGGCATTATTGAGGGGAGAGGTCATGGGACTGTATCTAAGGGCACAAAGGTCTCTAATATACACACTCAGGCTCCTGGCAACCATGGCTCAGAGCCCACCAGCAATATATGGATCCTTGCTCAGTAGGCCTAGACTATGCAAGTATGTATTAGAGGTAAAGGTTATTGCGATGCGAGTAACAAAAAATTTAACTTCCACAGCTAAAATATTTTTTTTTTTTAAAGAAAGGGTCTATTGGGCCATTGCTAGCAAGAGAAAGACCAGGTCCTGGGACATGAAGATGAAGTTTAAACCACCAGCAGCAGGGCTAGGCGGAAAAGTCAACGTGTCCACCATACTGGAGTTGATGGCCTTTGTAGGAGGCATCAAGTAGGAGGCAGAAAGATGTAAGTTGTTTTGAAAGAGTACATATTGACTGCAGATAAGGTGGGTGGGATAAGGTGAAGTCGGAGTAACAGTCTGCAAAGCTCATGTGTAAGCAAGAAGTGGAGGCTCCTGGGGTGCGGTGGAGCCTGGTGCAAATAGCCAACTGGAAATTAATTCAAAGTCCCGGCATACACTAAAGAGTGTAAGCAATCTGTCGTTGGTTTTGCACCGCAGTTGTTAGCTGATTAACCCCTTCTTGTCTTTTCCTTCCACCCTCTGGCCTGCTGTAATTTAATTTGGGAAATCTCAGAATTTTCTCCTTGTCAAATGGGAGGCAGCTGTGTGTGTGTGTGTGTGTGTGTGTGTGTGTGTGTGTGTGTGTGTAAGGGGGTGATGCCTTTGGACAAGGGGAGGAAGAGAAGAGTTTACCTTTAGCCCCAGACTTCCATCCACCTGTCTGCCTGCCTACCTACCTACTTACCTACCTACCTACCTGTCTATCTATCTATTGGTATCGTCCTGAAGTGCCCTGACTCCAGGGTGGTTGCTTAAAACAAAATATTTTATTTGAGAAAGGGAAGGAAGGGTAGAGGAAAATCAAAACAAGCCCATTAAATGATGGGGCCCAAAGAAATCCATAGGAATTTACAAACACTGAGAATATTAAACTTTTTACCTTCCTTCTTGGGGTGCCTGTTAAGCATAAAATGTCACATCTCTAACCAGACTAACCATCCCCACTGAGCCAGTAGCTGACACTCTTGAACTACAGGACAAGCAATCTGGCAGCTCTTGAATGTTTTGGGGGCTAGCTTCTCACCAGGCAATAGATGTGTACACTGAAAATATCTTTAGCTTCTAATATAATTTTTCAATTTAATTTTTGCACAAGTAATATGTTTACTTGGTTCAAAAATCAAAAGGTGTCAAAGGTAAAGGGAAAACTCCCCCTCCCATTTCATTATTTTCTCACCCCTTTCCACAGTTAATCACTCTTATAAATTTTTTGTGTATTTTCCCAATTTTTTATGAATAAATAAGCAAATAGGAATGTAAATTCTTATTCCCTCACTTTCTACCCAAATTGTAGTACATGATACCAGTGTTTCACACCTTTTCCCCATCAGCCATTGTGTCCTGGAGACTTTTCATATTGGTTCATAGACTCCTTCCTTGTTCTTTTTATAGCTGCACGATAACCCCTGCACCTTAAGTTGTACAACCAGTCCCCCGTTGATTGGCATGTAGGGTTTCCTTAATCCTTTGTTGTTATGAACAACGCTGCAATTACATAACATTGTACATATGTCACTGTCCATATATGCAAGTATATCCGTCGGATACATTTTTAGAACAGGAATTGCTAGGTCAAGGTGGAAATTTGATAAATAATGTCAAATTTCCCTTCCTAGGGGTGTTATGAATATGCATTCCCATCACCTCACCTGCTTCCCCTGAGCTTTGTCCTCAGAGTCGGTTTTGAAACTTTCAGGGTTTGACAAGCTAATAGGTGAAAAATGATATGCCAGCAGAATTTTAATTTGCATTTCCTTAACAAGTGTGGCTGAGTAAATGTTTAAGAGCCATTTGTATTTGTATTTTCAAACTGTCTTTTTCATCTAAAGTGAATTTTCCTAAAAGTCCAAGCTTGAGCTTCCCACACGCATTTGTAATGTCTCTGGAATCGTTGAGAAAATATATGCCTTTATTTTAAAAATAGCTTTTGACATTCTGTGAAAATAAAAGAAGTGCCATCTACAGGTTACCACTGAACAATATGAAAACATTACAGGTATTCTGAAATTAATTTTTGGCAAACGACAGAATCTGAAAAGACTAAAATCAGGTCCCCAGAAATCCACAACACTGTTTAAAGCAGCCTGGCTGAGGTTAAAACAGACTCATTAGAGTCTTTGTAAATTTAACATTTTTATTCTTATAATAAATATTTTCTCCATGAATCCACCTGTCCCCCACCCCCCAAATAGCACCTATGCTCTTTTCTAATCTTGAAAAAAGCATCAAGAAGCCCATCCGTGCTTTAAATCAACCCTCCCTGTGTCCTGAACATCCCCTGTAGCATGGATCCCATTCTCCATTGGTCCTCAAATGACCACCACTTCAGCCATTTGGGAACCAGAGAAGAGGCAGAGTGCTATTCCTTTCCCCATATATAGCAAACTGCTGAGAGGGGGCTCAGCTGTTGGCAAACTTGGGCTGCAAACAACAACCTATTTGAGAGAATAGTTAGAGGTTTTTGTTGTTTTTAATCCTAAATTTAATTTAAGATTATGGCCCATTGACTTATGGGCCTTAATAAACAGAAAACAGCTGTCCCTGAATGGCTTGCCCCCTAGTGGTCCTCATCAAGGACCCCTAGCACAGTCCACGGTGGGGGTCCCCAGGCAAAGAGGCCTTGACCAGCAGCCAACAGCACCTGGGTTTCAAGATTCCTTGAAACAGTAGTGTCCCTGACAAGCACAGCTGTTTTCTTCCACACCCTTCCTCACCCTGCCCAGCTTGGGAATCCACCTTGGAAACTGGCCTGGCTGGTGTAGCCTCTAATGAGTGGTTGGGTCATGAGGAGGACTTGGGCTGGGAGAGAGGCGGGAGCCCCCAGGGGTTAATTTGCCCACATAGTTCTCAGCTGACTCAAGTCTTGGCCATCAGGCATCCCCTGTATGCCTTGCTTTCCAGTCCATCCTTGAGAACCCAGGATTCAAAATTGGGACAATTCCTTGTGCCTGGGAAGCTTGGGGAAGATCTCTGATTCTTTTGTGGGCCAATCTGCTGGCCACACCCTCAATCAACAAACCCCTGCTTTCTGATGTGGCCTCAGCTTCCCAGGAAGACCCTTTTCTGTTACTTCTCCCAGAAATACTGGGCCACAGCCTCAGGGATCAGCTACTTCTTCAGGGAAGACCTTCCAGGCTGGTGATATGGGGGCAGGGAGGACTTGGAGGTGGGAAGGTGCACACTGGCCCATCTGTGAGGGTCATGGATGGGCACTGAGATTTGGGGGAGCACATGTGCTTTTGGCCCCTGTGCCACCCCTTCTGTTTGTTCCTGAGAGAAAACTAGAGAATCCTGGGTGGGAATTCTGACCTGGAAGAGTCCTGCTATTGGACCCCCATCCAGAAGAATTCCTTGTTCCCACCCGGGAGCCCCACCTGGCTTCAGGTAGGTCACCTGGTAGATAAGGACTACACCTCAGGGCTGGTGACCCCACAGGAAGGGGTAACCACCCGTCTTCCCACCTTGCTTAGTTCTAGCTTAGAGGAAGAAGTATCTGCTGAGGATACACAAGGGTGGGGGTGGCACACTTGTTGTTTCTGAGGAGGGGCTTCCATCACATATTTGACCCTGGCCTGGAACCTAGAGTTTCAGTCAAGAGCTCAGCTGCTCAGCTCAGTTCTAGCTCAGAGATCACCAGCCCCCAGCCTCCCTGTCTTGTCTGAGTCCCTGTAGGGAGTGAGGAGCTGGAGGTGAAGAGATGCCACCATACTTTCAGTCAGCACCATCCTAATGCCCTCTGCCTCAGGCCTCCCCTCTGCCCACAACCCCTCAGGGCTTGGTTGGACCAGGTCTGCTCTGGGGGCCCTCCACCAGCTCCCAGGCCAGGGCCAGCCCGGCTGGGTGGAGTAGAGCAGCTTCCAGAGCAGCTGTCAGGCTGGGCCTCACTGGGTAGCCCCTGCAAGTGCCACCATTCATGCCTGCTTCCTCACCAGCAGCACCCAGGGTAAGATGGCGGTGACCACAGCCACCACAGCGATGAGGGTGATGAGAAGGAGGGCCCGGGAGCGGCAGCAGAACGACCGGGTGGAGCTGGGAGCCGGGGATGCCTCAGAGAGCTCTGCCAGGCTGCGCCGCGGCAGGACACTGTCCTGCTCTCCCAGGGGCATCCCATGGCGACTGATGATGAAGATTTGCGGCTCCCGGGGCAGGCTGGGCAGCACATCCAAGGGGAACTGGGCACTCTGACCTGGGGATGGTCTCCAAACAGGCTGGGAGATGGCCAGGGGGTTTGTGTGGCCCAGGGTATCTGATGGTGGCCCAGGGGGCAGGCCCACAGGCACAGCAAGGGTCTGGGAGCTCTTGTCCAGCATGGAGGGCCAGCGGGAGCTTTTTTTGCTGAGGAAGGTGACATAGCGGCAGATGGGACAGACAATGGTCCTCTGGACCTGCCCGTCCACACGGGTGGAGAGTAGGTACTTGACAAGGCAGTCATGGCAGAACACATGGCCGCAGCTCAGCGTCCGGCTGGCGCCCTCCAGATCACGGAACTTCTCGTAGCACACGGGGCACTCACTGCAGGAGCTGTCCTTACTCTCGCCTTCTGACATGGCTGCTCTGGGAAGGCAGGGCCTTAGCTGTGGGCGGGAAGGGCTGTGAGTATCAGTGCCTTTTTCCTCCTTTGCTCCCCTCTGTAACTCCCTCTGCTTCCACTGCCTCCTTCTTCCCTTTCTTCTTGTCTCCTGTCTTCCATTTTTTCCTCTTGCCCTTTTGTCTTCTGCTGTTCCTCCTCAGTGGCCTACCTGAATTAAATCAAGACCTGAGACCTAGAGCCTAAGACCCTTAGGAGGAGAGGGGGAGGCGGTGCTTCTGGAAGTGGGGATTGGGAGACATAATGAGAGAGATCCTAGTCCAGCCACCCTGGACTCTTGAAGGAGGTGCATGGAGTGTGATAAAGGCATAGCCTTCCTGATACCTCACTTCAACCATGACATACACACACGGTGAGATCACCGCCTCACCTCTTCCTGGTTCCTTGCTGGAAGTAAAGGCAGGAGCACCCAGTTCTCAGGGGATGAGCAGGTGGTCCCCCAGCATCAGTCCAGGTCCCAGTGGGGGCCTGTGCCCAGAGTTCCTGTTTCCCAGAAAAGCCTCTGCTCCTTCTCAATCTCTCCGCTCAGGGGTTGGCTGATCCACTGATTTGTATCCAGCCACAGATTGCATTCCTCTGTGCTATGTGTAGCTATAAAGCAATGACTGTTTTGAAAATAAAACACAGAACTTACACATCCAAATGCCTGCTGGCCCTCGGCGTAGTCATGTCAGGGATCTGTGGGCTCATTCCTCCACTTGCCACAGCTCATCCATTCTTCAGATTCTTAGAGGGCTTCCGGAGGCCACCAGAGAACCTTCTGATAAACCTCAGTGAAGGCAGATTTTCATCCTTTGAGGATATGTGTGGTATTGTGAAAATGGCCAAAAGTCACCAGGTACCAATCCTGGAGGAAAGTAAATGAGTATTTAAGTGACATGATACTGTTTTAAATCAAAGATCTGGAGTCACCATAACGTTACAGTGTAGGTTTTAAACATTATCTGAGAGCAAAGGAGAGGCTCCAAAAATGTTATTAGCAATGGTAGAATTGTTGGTTAAGTACTCAGCTTCCCAAGATGATGACCTTGAAGGGAAACACCCATTTGGGTATGTGGCGAGGCCCAAGTGTTCTCATGTAAAAGTCCCCAGTGTCACAACTGTGTATTCTAAACTCATATAGGACAGCCTCTTTAGAAAAAACTGTAATCACTTATTATTGATATATTCTTCCATCAATGACAAAAGACCCTTGGACACACTGACAAATAGAACTGAGAGATGACATAATGGGAACAAGATTAATTAACAGGAAGACAACTATTGTTTGTCAAATTTCAAATCTTTTGGAATCTCTCCCTTTACTTGGCTTGGTTCCAAATCCATTTTACCAAGATGGAAATGTCCCATAACTAAGAAGGAGCAAAAATATGTAAAAGTAATTTCTCCAAAGAAGCCTGATGAAATTTGGGATAGGGGGCCTGGGACCCTGCAGGCAGCACCTAAACCTTTGCAAACGTTTTCAATCTTTGGTTTCTGAGGTTGTCAGTGTGTCTCCCAGGCTGGTGGTGGTGCGGGGGGGTTCAAGTCCTCAGACTCTGGAGCTGGGTTCAAGTCCTTGATATGTCCACTGCTGTCTGTATAACCTCAGGCAAGTTGTTTAACCTATCTGAGCCTCAGTTTCCCATCTGTAAAATGGGGTTGATAATAATAATACTACCTTCCTCTCAGAGTTGCAGAGTTGTTCAGAGTATTAAGTGAGCTAATGCGAGTGAAGAGTCTGGTACAAAGTAAGTGCTCAATAAATGCTACATGTCATTGTTAAGGCAGGCCAAATCCTCTTCCCTCCTAGCATCTTTCTTCCCTTCCTTCCCTCTCCTCCTCAGATAGTCCTTATTATGTAGATGACTAAAAAATCACGCACCTCTGACAGAGGGTAGCTCCCCTCAAATTAGAACAACTGAACAAGATAACAATAGATTACGTAGGTGTTGGGCAATAGGTAAAAATTAAGATGGTGATGCCAGTGTTTCCCAGTCATTTTTGTTTCGTAATGCTTATAAATGTCTAAACTGAACTAGAGTTACTCTCAGAATGACCATGATTTTCTTAAGCCAACCAACTACTAATATGTCCTCCTGTGTTTCATAACTCCCTACAGGCATATGGTAGAAATTCATTGCATCCATCCATCCATCCATCCATCCATCCACCCATCCATCCAATTATTCAACAAATATTTATTGAGCACCTGCTGCATGCTAGGTATTGAGCTAGACATTGGAGATAAGCAGTGATCAAGAAAGTCTTTCATAAAACTTTCAGAGCCTAGTGGACATTTATAAATTTTCTTGAAAACTATTTTTTAAAAAGGAGGGATGATGATCAATAGCTTAAGTTGTTTGGGTAACTGAGAGGAAGGTATCAAGATAGGCAAGAGAATTAAAGTAGATAGGTAAGAGAATGCTAGGGGAAGAAAGAACTTTTGAGGTAATTTAGTTAAATCTACTTTTACAGGTGAGCAGACCTAGGTTCGCAGAAGGGAAAGTGAATTGTTTGAGGTTACCTGGGAAGGTGATGGAGAAGGAGAAGGCCGAGATAATGATAGAGATAGAGATAGAGATAGAGATGAGAGAGAGAGAGAGAGAGAGAGAGAGAGAGAGAGAGGAGATTCCATAGATTATATAGAGACCATTATTAGAATCAATTGATAGGTTGAGTGAGTAGATATTAGCAAGTCAGAAAGCACTATCCTGCTTGGGATGAACAGGGGAGGGGGCAGAAGAGCCTCTATTTTTCATGTGAGCTTGTGGGAAAGTAAAAGCGACCCACGGGATGCAAAAGATGTCCCAGTCCCCACTGATGGCCTCTCTGGGCAGCCCTTTCTCCTTCCTGAGCTTCAGGAGTGGCATTTCATTCATGCTTGGACAATGCCACCCTCCTTCCCCACCTTCTTCTAACCTCCCTTTCTCAGTCTTTCCCTGACCTCTCCCTCCTGTGTCCCTCCCTTTTTCTTAATTCCATTTTATTCTTCATCCTTGAGTTCCTCTTATGGGCCTGACTCTGTCTTGGGTGCTGGGGCAGGGAAGAGGGCAGCAGAAGGAATAAATGCAAGGCTCATACTCTGGTTTGGGCACAGACTAGTTAAATAACAATGCAAGACATTATATGCCAAAAAGCATTCCCATTGGTGCTTTAGGAAATTGTGGGGAGAGGAGGGCTGCAAAGTCTTCCTAGGTGAGGAGGGACCAGTGTTGAGCTAATAATAAATAATTATAACAGCGACTATTTATTAAACACTAATTATGTGCTTGGCATTTTGCATTCCTTCCTCATTTAACCCTGACAACTCTGGGAGGTAGGTATTTTCTCCATTTTACAGATGAGGGAACTGAGGCTCAAGGCTTAAGTTAAGTAACTTGCTCAAAGTCATACTGCTGGTACAGGGCAGACCCAGGATAGGCAGCCCATGATATGTATTGCTGCCTCTAGTGAGGGTTTGGATGTGCCTCCATGGAGGACATTCCAGACCTTGGTTCAAGGCGTAGATGAAGAACCAAAAGCAAGGTGGCAGAACAGGAGGTCCCAGGCCTCATACCTCTACAGAAACACTGATTTACCTGTATTTCCTGTGAAGCACCCGTGGATGAGAATACCTCACGACAGCTCCAGAATCAGTTGTATATGTTATAGATGTACAGCTTTTTGCATGTCAAATGTACTTTAGTAAAGTGGTTAAGAAAAAAAGGAATAGATGAAGAAGCATTGATGGAAAAGTGACGCCCAAACTTCCCTCCTCAGAGTGACTCTAAACAGAGCTGCCATTCCAGCCACCTGTGAGGCGGGGAGGACAAGGGCTGGCCCAAGGGAGGTGACCTCGAAAACCCCAGTTCCCAGCCTTAGCAGCAGCAGCCCATTGTGAGGACTGGTTGGGGCTGTCACCAGCCCAGGCAACCCCCCCCCGCCTCCCCACCTTGGAACAGTGGACCTGTGAGGCAGAGGCCCTATAGCTTCAGCTGTGTCCACTTCCCCACCCCTAGATGCCACACACACACACACACACACACACACACACACACTCCCACACCTCTGTATCACTCCAGCTTCAGTCCAAACCTTGCCAACCTTTTCCTGGCTCCCCGTCCTTCCCCACCCCCAGCCAGGGCTCCCGGACTCACTTTGGCTGGGGCCAGGAAGAGCAGCATCCGCCTCTTCACCTGGGTCCTCCGCGAGGCAGATCTGAGCCACCCAGAGGCACTGGGCAGGCAGCACGTCCTTCTGTTGCTGTCACTGTGACAGCTGCCGCTGAGGCATTCCCTAATGACTGAGCAGGTCGGGAGGACAGTGCCAGGAAGTGAATGTCGCTCAACCCGTTTGAGACCAGGAGGCTCTTGGCATTGCCCAGGGGTTTGGCAGCTGCTGGAGTCATGTGATCTTGATGAGGATGCTAGGAGGGGAGCCCCTGACCTGAAGAGGAGCCCAGGGATGGGTACTCAGGACAGGCAGAGGGTCTCACAAGGAGGCAGTGACCCAGGACCCCTTTGACTGAAGCTCCCTAGAGATGGGTCTCCCCATCCCAACACTAAAAGTCATGTTCGCAGTCTTCCACGCCCCTGGACCCATTTCAGTGATCCTTCCACACCCCTCTGCTCCTCTGCCATGCACAGAGTGAAAGGGGCAGATCAGCCTCAGGAAGGCGATGACATCCAAAGTTGTATACAAAGATTTGGGGGATGTGCTATGTGTATTTGTCATTCATCAAACACTCAAAGGGGCTCAGAGATCCAAAAGACCAAACACCACTGGGAGAAAGAATGGAGTAGAGTAAAACCAATGAATTAGAAATGCGCACACCTGAGTGGAAAAAAGTCCCTGATATCTTGTGAAATAGAAGCACATTTCAGAACAGTCTGTATAATATGATTCTATTTATAGAAATGAGAACAACATATGATCATTTTTATAGAGAAAAATTGGGAAGAAGACACATCAGATTTGATAGTAATCATCTCTGGAGGGACTTTCTATTTTAAACATTCCTGTGATATTTGAATTTTCACACTGAATGTGTTTCTTTCATGATCAGAAAAAAATAATCAATAATAAGGTAGGAACAAAGCCAGGACTAGAAACCATTTTGGGGGATTCCCTCCCAGACCTCAAGAAATTGGTTTTCTACTGAAAAAATGAAGTTCCTGGATCCAACGCACAGCTCAGCATATGTGTGACCTCATAGGGTGACCAGGATGGCCCCTTTCCCACTGGACCAACTATGGCCACTTTGAGGCTGGTTGGGGGAGGACAGTCAGGGCAGTGTAGCTGGCCACCTCATCCAGAACATGGAGATGGCTGGGTACAAACCGTGGTGACAGTCTCTCATGTTCTTCCCCAGGAAGTCCCAGACAGTCCTAGATTTAGCAAATAGAAGTGTAGACTGCCCAGGTAAATTTGTATTTCAGATAAACAAAAAAAATTTTTTTTTTTAGATTTTTTTTTATTGGGGAATTGGGGGGATGGGAACAGCGCTGGGGAATTGGGGAAGGGGAACAGATAAGTTGTTGTTGTTTTGTTCTTCAGTCTAGTTGTGGAGGATGTTGTTTCACTGGCCCTAGTTGGCACCATCATTGCGCTCTTCCTGGGCGAGGCAGATCAGTCGCTGGCTTCTGGACAGCCGCTCACTGCGGCTGCTGGCCGCTCACGCTGGCTGCTGGCTACATATGGTAGCCCATGACAACCCACTGCCACAGGGGCTGCAGCCTACGCCATCGCCGGCGACTCACGGCAGCCCAGCTCCAGGTTGAGCTGTTGTTCAGCATCTTAGCTGTAGAGGGCAGTGTCACTGGCCCTCATATGTGGGATCTGAACCGGGGCCCTCTGGCGTCCCAAGCCAGTTCTTAACCATCGTGCCACTCGGCCGGCCCAACAAATAATTTTTTAGTATAAGTATGCCCAATGCAGTATTTGGGACCTAATTATGCTAAAAAATTATTCATTGTTTATCTAAAACTCAAATTTCACTGGGCATCCTATTTCATTTTGCCACTCTAGTCCCAGAGGGTTCCCCAAATTTCTCTCCTTGCATCAGCACCATGCCCCTTTGGTAGTGTGGCTCATGACTGACTACCTAGGGCTTCCTGAAAAGGAGTCCCAAATATTCAGCATCAGTGCCCCATGTGTCCCCGGGGTAGGGGACGGAGCTAATCTGGACTGATTTTAGACTCAGACTAATGTGATATGATTATGTAGTAATATGAAATTCCTGAGGCCCCCAGTTCTTTTCCACTGGCCCTGCTATGAAGCTTAACTTTGAAGATTACCTTGAATATATAAATATTTATTATCATAGTTTGTCATGGTTTTATATTCCAAAATAAGAATTCCACTTTAAAAATTATATATACATATGTATGTATATATGTGTGTATGTTTTTGCACATACACACACAGACAAACTTACCTGAAAGAGTAAATATATCAGCGGGAGAAACCTTAGCTTGACTTTATCAGGTTGGCTCTAGTCATCTAGCAAGATCTTGAGAGAGTTGGGCACAGGGCTAAGTTTTGAGAGGCAAAGGGGAATTAGTAATCAGGAAAAACTGAGAGCACAGGTATATTAGCCTGAAGGTTCTACACTATAGGATTTGATAGTAGGGATCTTTGGGAAATTGAGATCAGCACAGGAGCATTCAAAAGTGCTCTGTGTGTGTTTATATGAAGAGAAAGTGCCACGTGCATTTGGGTAAGTTACTTAATTCCTTTGTGCATCAGTTGCTTCAATCAGAAAAATGGGGATAATAATGGAGACCATTTTGGCCCCATAAGGTAAGACTCTATAGGATTGTGATGCTTAAATGAATGGATGCAAATAATGTGCCTGGAACCATACCTCTAAATGCATTAAGGTCTCCATCAACACCCTATCACCTTTCTTTCTTTCCTTCCTTCCTTCCTTTCTTCCTCCCTTCCTTCCTTCCTTCCTTCCTTCCTTCCTTCCTTCCTTCCTTCCTTCCTTCCTTCCTTCCTTCCTTCCTTCCTTCTTTCTTCTTCATCATCATCATGGCAAAAAGAGAAGGCTAAAGAGGGGTAAGGGGACTTGAATACCTTCTACTTCAAGGGGCCTGGCCAATCTGGTCCTAGCTTAGTGAATAAGGTATTTTTTGCAAATCCTACCACCTGTTTTATAGTGTCCTGCCATTCTCAGCAGAGGCGATAAATGCAGTCTGAATGGTGGAAGACTGGTTTTCAGCTCAGGGAAGGATGGGATGAGTGGCCTCTGTTCTGGTCAGGCTACATCCGAGAATTGTGCCCAGTTCTGGGGACACAGTTGGGGTGGTGGTGTCAAGGCACTGAAGCGTGTTCTGGGGAAGAGGCCAGCCAGGATAGGTGTGGGTCCGGAGACTATTGTGGATCAGTAAGATGAGACTTTCTTTGGGGAAACCTCTCTAAGGGTAGGAAGCTTCCAGACGAGGGGAGAACCCAGGCTGAGGCTGGCTGACCACTGACTGACTGAAGGTCTGGTTTCTGCATAGGATGACTAGCTGGACCAGGATAGAAATCCCCAAATACCAGAACCACCTGGAGAACTGATTAAAGTTACAGATTTCCAGGCCTTATCTTAGGACTTAGCAGGTCTTGAGATGGGCCTAGGAAAATACATTCTGTATTTATTTTTTTTAATTGAATGGATTGATGAATGAATTGATGTGATAATGCAAAAATAGTGCATGCTAATGGTAGAATATAATTTTTAGATATACGGGTTCTGTAAACCACTGTAAAATTCTTTCAACTTTTCTGTATGTTTGGAAATTGTCATAATAAATGCTGAAATAAAATTTAATTTCTTGAATAAACAATACATTCAGATGATTAAAAAATAAAAAAGTGGTAAAAACCTACAGTGAAGATTCCCTCTCCTCCCTGTTCCGTATCTGCCCATTTCCTATGCATCCCAAAAGGCAATCACTAGCTAACACCCATCAGAAAGGCTACTCTAAAACACACACAAACACACACACACACACACACACACACACACACACAGAAAATGGGTGTTGGTGAGAATGTGCAGAAATTTGAGCTCTTGTGCACTGCTGGTGGGAATGTAAAATGGTGCAGCCACTATGAAAAACATTATGATGGCTTCTCAAATAATTAAAAATAGAATTACCAAATGAGCCAGCAATTTCCCTTGTGGGTACATACCCAATAGAATTGATAGCAGGGACTCCAACAGATATTTGTACACCCATGTTCAAAGCAGTATTACTCAAAATAGCCCAAAGGTGAAAGCAATTTGTGTTTATCGACAGATAAATGTATAAACAAAGTGTGATTTATACATATAATGGAATATTATTCCCCCTTAAAAAAGAAGAAAAGTCTCACACATGCTACAATATGGGTGAACTTTGAGGACATTATGCTTCATAAAATAAGCCAGTTACAAAAGGACAAACACTATATGAATCCACTTATAGGAGGTTCCTAGAGTAGTCAGATTCATAGAGACAGAAAGTAGAATGGTGGTTCCAGGGTGAATGGGAAGTAATTGTTTAATGGGTACAGAGTTTCAGTTTGGGAAGATAAAAATGTTCTGGAGATGGATGGTAGTGATGGTTACACAACAGTGTGAAAGTACTTAATGCCATTTAACTGTACACTTGAAAATGAAGAAGACGGTAGATATTTACCATAATTTTTAAAAAAGGTAACCATTGTAATTAGTGGTTATTCTTGTGCATCTCATTTATCTACAGGAGCGAATACACATATAGATTCATATTCTCTCTCTTTTTTTTTTTAAACCAAAAGGTAGCAGGCCACATGCATGCTTCTGCATCTTGCTTGTCTTCCTTGACACTATATCTTGGAGCTTTCTCATTTATCAGCTTGGTAAGTGGTATAAGTGCTGCTTTTCATTTCCAGCTTGCATCCCTCCCTCCTCCGCGCCCCCTTTCCCCCCCAGCCCTCCTGCACCAACTTGCACCACAGAACCCAGCAGCCACAGAGTATCTTCACGGGTCTCAGCTCATCTTCCTCTTCTCTGAAGACTTCCATGGCTCCCCACTGCCCGCACCCCTCAGCCAGCACATGAGGCCCTCACTGCCTTTCTAAGGCTTGCTCCAGTTATCCCCTATCCCCTTGGCTGTCTGTCTCATGCCATGCAGAGTGGCCACAATGGTGACTTTCAGCTTAGATCCCTTGAAGGCCTCAACTTTTGGGGCTCTGTGATTTTTTTCCC